ATATAGCCAGTCAATATTTTTCCAGATTACCCTTAATTTTTAGTACCCCTATTCCCTGCCTTGAGGGTCCAGTTACTTCAGGTGACCAGCTTTGGAATTATTTTGCTTATATACATGCTAATAAGAAATTTAAATGTAAAAGTAAATATTAAAGGAAGTATATAATGAGAAAATCCATGGGAATCTGCTTAAAGGGTAAAAGGAATTTATTAGGAAAGGAAACTCACTAAACAGAATAGGAGAATCGCCACAGGGTCCTGGAATGCTGAGGTACTGTCCCATCCCGTTCTGCTACCTGAGTCAGTCCACCCCATCCAAGCCCAGATGAAGAGAAGAGACCATCTTATGTGCATTTCAGGTCTTAAGGGTAGCCCCCAGGCCATGCCCCAGGGGCAGGTACTTCATAGGTAGGTAGAACAGATATCCATTATATCTCCCCCTTTTGTCTAAATAAGAAATTTCTAACCTAATACAAAATTATATACAATAGGAATAATTACCAAGTATTGTCCAGGAAATAACATAAACAAAATAGAAATACAATCAACAAGAACAACATCAAGCAAGAAACACACACTAAATGTTCAGAAATGTCCAGACCATAGATAAACGGCATGTTTCAGAGATTGCTCTAATAGCTGTCCTATCCTAAAGAATCTAACTTTAGTATCTGAAATGCTCTTAGCTAAGATATGAGAGGATTGTAACTGTAACTATCTAGTCTTCAACCCCATCCAAGACCTGAGAAGGAAAATAATATTACCTGAGAAAACAGGAAGCATAAGCAAGCAATTTCTGAAAAATTGTGAGTATACACAGAGACAGCTGGCAGCCTGGACAGTCACCTAGAGTTTCTCAGCACTGTTGTGGCATCCATTTTTGGCCACAGGCCTAGAATATCTGACAGACCATTTTTAGAAGCAGGAATTTTGAAAGACCATCTTACTCTGTCTTGGCAGGGTTCAGCAGTTGCTTTACCTTGTGTTCTGCTCATCTGGAAAGGACAATGTGCATACTGTCAGCAGTCGAGGCAAGGGCAGTTCTTTGCCCAGCAGGTCATTTTGTGCCCAGAAGAAGACAAACTTCCGTACAGAGTGTCTTGAAGCCCAACATTGTCTCAGGAGTAGATCTGTGCTGCCAGGAGCAATCGTGTCTCATGGCAACAGAATTTTAAGTTCTAAAAACATTTAAATGCCATATTCTCTAGGTCTATGAAGTGTTTGAAGATTACCTATCCATCTGACATATGTTTCTGTAAATCTGAAAAACCTAACTAACATAACTACAGATATGACAAGTATGGGTGACTATTAATCTGTAAGTCTTATCTACCTAAATAACCTAAGGACTAAGCCTTCACATTAACAATTTTTTCCTTTAGCAACATGCTTGGGTTTAGAGAAGGAGAGAGCCACATTCCAACTCCAAAGCCAGCTTGATTTATAATTGAATCAGGACCACAACTGTTCTAGAGTTAAAAAGATATTGATATTAGGCAGTGAGATATTACCCTTTAGAGTATATTGGTATCAATAGGTTCTTCCCTTCTGCTTTAAATGTCTAGGTGTCCAAGACCTTATGATTTCTTAAAGATGGGTGTTCCTATTCTCCTCTAAAGACAAAAAACAGAACCCTGCCCTGACCCTTGTTTGTTGAGTTTTCCTTACAAATTTGAAGAATTTTCACATCAGTGAATGAGCTATTATTTCTCCTCATCGGGGTTTATTGTGTTTGAATTGAATTTTTATTAATTTTGTTAGTATCTGTAGCTTTTCTCCTCCTGCAGAAACAAAAGCAAAACCACTTCCTCAAGGTAGGGCGTATCCTGGCTTCCATTCCAAGGTCAACATATCTTTGAAGTAAACTGGTTGGTTTAGCTCAGGAGTTTTGTCTGTCGTCCAAAGTCTCTCTGCAGCTCTTGTCCCTTTCTCATCAGCACTGAGAAAACTCAAGATTAATAAAGCATTATATAATCTATTTCTAGGAGTCATTGTTACCTCTTTCTGTTTATGTAGCATATCCTTTAAAGTTCGATTGGATCTTTCTATGACTGCTTGGCCTGTGGGATTGTGTGGTATACCTGTAATATGCTTTATATAATAATAAGCAAAAAACTGTTTCATTTTACTAGAGACATATGCTGGAGCATTGTCAGTCTTAATTTGTACAGGTATATCCATGATGGCCATAACTTCTAATAGGAGTGTAATTACAGAATCAGCCTTTTTAGAATTCACAGGAGTTGCCCATTGAAAATAGATAACAATAGTATGATGTACATATATTTTCCAAATTCTGCAAAATGAAACACATCCATCTGCCAAATTTTACTTCTTTGTATATCTTTAGGATTGTTTCCTACAGGCAATGGAGTTTGGTTATAGAAGGAACAAGTAGGACTTTTTTTTAAAACAATTTCCTTGGCTTGTTGTCAAGTGATAAAGTCCTTTTTCAAACCTTTGCTATTTACATGGTGTTTCTTATGAAATTCTGAGGCCTCCAGCATGTTACCTATTAATAATTGATCAATCTCATCATTACCTTGTGCTAGAGGATCTGACAGACCCGTATGGGATCTGATGTGTTTTATACACACACACACACACACACACACACACACACACACACACACACACACACACAGAATGTTCCCTATTTCTCACGATTTCCTGCAATTGTATAAATAGTGAAGTTAATTCTGTTTTATCAAAAATAAATTCAGCAGTTTCAATACGTAAAACAACTCTCTCTGCCTATTGAGAGTCTGTGAAATCCGTTAGTGCCATCAGAATGACATAAAGTTCTGACTTTTGTACAGAATTGTAAGGGCGTTGGACCATTTTACTTAAATCTTCTGATTTATATCTCACTATCCAAACCCACGAGGGAGAGAAGAGAGCACTCTACATGCCTCTCTGGTCTTAAGGGTAGCCCCAAGGCCACGCCCCAGGGGCTGGTACTTCAAGGTCATAGGTAGAACAGATATCCACATCAGAAGTATGCACATACGCGAGCATTTTGTGGGTCAATCCTACCTCAAACCAAATGCCCAGTGCTTATTTGGTTTCACAGCGGAGTGGCCTCTTTGATGGAATCTCTAGTTCCCGTAGTTAGAGTCAGAGCCATGGTAATGGGGCTAGCGGGGAAGACGGGGGTTCACCGGCCTACCTTGTCCTCTACAAGGAGGTGGGATGTGCCCTCGTCCCTGGATTACTCTGGGATGAGCTTGCTTTCTTCTGCGCATGTTAGCTTCTGACCTAGGCTGCTGCTGTGTCCGGGTTCCCACTAAGAGCAGAAAGAGGCGGAGTTCCAAGGCTGAGACAATCTTGCTTCATGGGGCCTTTTCCTCCCCAAGGCTGCAATGCAAGATCTCTTCTTTCTTCTTTTCCATCTCTTACCTCTCCTTTCTAGTCCCAAACCCAGTTCCTCTCTTTTTTTAATTGAAAAAGTTTTTCATATAATGTATTTTGATCATGTTTTCACTTCTCCCAATTCTTCCCAGACCTCCCCCACCTTCTACCCATATTTTGCCCCCCCCCACCTAACAATCAATAAAACAAACAACAAGAAACACAAACACCAGCCTGGTGGTGGCGGTGGTGGTGGTGGCGGCGGCGGCGGCGGCGGCGGCGGCGCATGCCTTTAATCCCAGCACTTGGAAGTCAGGGACAGGCGGGATCTCTATGAGTTCCAGGCCAGCCTGGTCTATAAAGCAAGTTCCAGGACAGCCATGGTTACACAAAAAAAAACTGTTTTGAAAAAACATGACAACCAAAAACCAGACAAACAAAAAACCACAAATATTAACTACTCCCAAAATACAAAAACAAAAATCAAAATAAAAAAGCAACAGATGAGTAAGACAAAAAAAAAAAAATCCAAACCAGGCAAAATGAGACTAAACTCCACAACAATACTCTTGAGTTTGTTTTGTGTTGACCAACTACGCCTGGGCATAGGGCCATAGGGCCTGCCCTGAAGAATGGGTAATATACCCAGTGAGCTTCCACTGGAGAAAACTAAGTTTCCCTTTGTCAGTGGTTATCAATTGCAGGTAGCTTCTTGGCTAGGGGCGGGAGCCTGTGTCCACTCCACCTTCTCAGTGCTGCGACTCCCTCTGGCTTGAACTTGCACAGGCCTGGCACATGCTGCTGCAGTCCTTGCGAGTGTATGTGCCTCAGTCCTGCTGTGTATGGAGGACATGTATCCTTGGTGTTGTCCATCTCTCCCGGCTCTGCATGGATCTGTGAGTCTTGATAGAAGGGTTTGATGAAGACATCTCATTTAGGACTGAGTGCTCCAAAGTTTTTCACTCTCTGCATATTTTCCAGTTGTGGGTCTCTGTGTCAGTTCCTATCTACTGCAATGATGAAGGCAGGCTGGCCATTGTCCAGTTGTGGGCCTCTGTGTTAGTTCCCATCTACTGCAATGATGAAGGCAGGCTGACCATTGTCCAGTTGTGGGTCTCTGTGTCAGTTCCCATCTACTGCAATGATGAAGGCAGGCTGGCCATTGTCCAGTTGTGGGCCTCTGTGTTAGTTCCCATCTATTGCGATGATGAAGGCAGGCTGATATGGCAGCACATCATTAAGAGCCATTTATTGTGAGGTTCCTTTAGGAGGACAAGTTTTGGTTTTCCTGTAGGCCCATGGCCTAGCTAGTCTCAGAGTCTTGGGCACTTTAGTAGTTTCTCTCTTTTTAAAAATGATTCCCCAAAAGATTGCTTTGTTATTCAATGTACTAAAAATAAGAGGTTAGTGGTTCACAGAGGTAAATTTGTGTACAATTGAATTTTCCATAAGGGAAATTTGTGATTACTAATCATGACCCATTTATTTTTTTGTGAAGCATGAGTTTGGATGAGGTTAAGATTCAGATTTTGACTCTGCTCTCTTTGTAGCAAGATGACTGACCTTTGGAGAAGGGGTAAGCCCTGCCCCTTGAGCACTGAATTTCTCAATACCCCTCAAACACAAATAATAATTTTTTCCCTGTAGACATGACAGCATGTTGTTGAATGCAAGGGGCAGATCGGGAAAATGTCCCAACAGTATGATGTCATTTAAGTGAATTTGTGTGCATTGAAGATTCTTGTAAAGCTTTATTCTTGTTTACGTGTACTTGTGTGTATGTGTGTGTGTACATGTGTGCACAGATGCCTGTGAAAGACGGGTGAAGGTGTTGGATGCCCTGAAACTAGAGTGATAAGCGGTTGGGAACTGCCTGACATGGGTGCTGGGAGCCGAATTCCAGCCTTCTGCAGAGCAGCGAGAGCTTCGAGCTGCTGATTCCTCTCTCCAGCCTCCGGAAGGTAAAAACACCACCACCACCACACATTTCTTTTTCACATTCATTTATTTTGTGCATGCATGGCAGGGGAGGCACACACAGCCCCAGTGCATGTGGAGGTCTGAGGACAACTTTGGGGAGCTCTTCTCTCTTTCCATCACTTTCGGCCCAGGGACTGCACTCAGGTTGTTGGAGTTGGTGGCCTTTGTCCACAGGGGTGTTTCACCAGCCCCACTGAAGAATTTTTGACAAAACATTGATGATAGGTATCTTTACAAGGTTGTTGTCCCAATATTTGATATTTGGGCTAATAAAAACATGTTAAAAATATTTGAAGGTTAAAAAGCAAAGTTCTAGTCTTTTAAATGAAAAGAAAAATCTCCACATTTAACTTAAACAAATATCACCTGATATAAACAGTCCTGGTAACTGCCGGGTGGTGCTCTGTGCTCTTTATCCCATTGTTAAACTTAGTTCTCAGGACATCATGAGAGGTGGAATGGTTCCCACCCAGCATAACATCTCATTTACAGAGGGATGCGGGAGTAGAAGGGAAGGGTTTTCTTCTATGCTGCTTGGTTGTGCAAGATTTTTCTTTATTGTATTCATAACATCATACAGAAAAATACTGATCTGTTTTCAATGCCTGGGGCACTGAATATCCTATTAGACATTGACTGTGTGTGTGTGTGTGTGTGTGTGTGTGTGTGATGTGTGTGTGTGTGTGTGCCTGTGCACGTGTGTGCGTGTGTGCCTGTGGGTGTGATAAAGAGCTCCACGCAAGTCTTTCATATATAATTTGAGGAGAGAAGAACTTCCCTACCTTAATATACATCTCAATTCTGCTTTGCCTCTAACGATTTAGCTTTCTTGTTTTCTTGTGACTGCTCTAGCTGGTTTTGTAGCTAGAAAAAACAATGAGGTTTGCCTAAAACTGACATGCATTATCAATTGTTGTCGTTGGCCACATAAATATTAAGCAGGCTGTTTCCAGTTTATAAAGGATGTGTGGTAGAAGCCCTTAAACTGTGGCCACATAGGTTAGAGAGGTAGGGATAATCAACCCTCTTCTAAGCAGTCTTTTGCCCCCTTCCAGGCATTAATTACCTAACTTCCAGAACCCGGAGATCAATAATTATTCATGACTGGGACCCACCAGCAGCTCATAAGTGCTTTGTGCAATTTTCAGGTCACTTTTGTAGTTTGAGGTTTTTTTTCCCCCTCTTCTGCCACATGGAAATCCTTTTCTTCCGAGCATAAGCGAACACTTCTCGACTGTGCTCCACAGGGGAGAGACAATTCCACGAAGGGCAGAGGGAGAGATGGAAAAGGGGAGCTTCAACCTTTACAGATGAGAATGTGGATTTATTATTTCAAAAAGAGCAAACCTTTGAAAAAATATTTACAGAGAGAGAAAGTGTGTTCTGTGGCTCCCCACAGCTGAGGGCACTGGGAAGCCACCCCCACCCCCGTGACCCAGGCAGCGGTAATGGGAGGCACAATTTCCATTGCTGAAGGGCAGAGTGGACCCGAAATGCCAATGCAACTTCTGCATTGCCCCATGCGCCTATTTCTCACAATGTAAACACCAGATTGCTCTGAACGCAATTCAGCCTGCTTTAGAAGACAAGGCTCAGGGCCCACGGGAAGATGTCGTGATTCTTACTGCTGTTGAATGGTTCTGTATTGATTATACATAAAAGCTGTTTGTCAGGTCCTCTCTTGTTTTCGACCCACAACCACCCATGCCTTTCACACACTCAGACGACCCAGTGGCACACAAGATGGAAGCCCTCTGAGTATCTTAATTAAACTTTACTGTGACTGCCCTCAGTCAGGGTTGCCATAGGAAGGACTTCTGACAGGCGGGGCGATTAGCAGGTGACCTCTATAGCAAAAGTCTTTTCCCACACGGTGGTTCTGGATTTTTTGTTACTTAAATGTCAAAGCTGCAGAACTATCCTGCCGTATTTATGGTTTAATGATAAATGCTGATGACATGCACATTTTGGAAGAGAGTCTTTCAAACTACACAAGTCTAGTTTGTGAGTCCATAGACACTAAAAGGGGCTGACATACACATTTAAGACCTTGAAGTTGGGGTTGACTGGAAAAAACCCACTGCCAATCTGCAAACTAAATCTAGTCTACAAGTAAATGCTGAGTGTGAAAGCTGGCACCATTGGCAAAGCTCACACACTACATCTTCCACAGAAGGACTCACAGTCAGTCTGTTGTCTTAGATGAACCATCCCCTCCTCACTGTTGTCTCAGGAGGAGCCCAGCTCAGTGTCAACAGTGAGGTAAGAGAAAAGCCACTATCGAGATGATAAACACAAAGAAGGTCCTAGCATTTCTAATGAGGTATAATGTGAATACAATTGAAGTGACTAAGTGTGTGTGTGTGTGTGTGTGTGTATGTGTGTGTGTGTGTGTGTGTGTGTATGAGTGTTGGACATGTCTGTGTGTGCATGAGGAGGCCAGAGCCAGCCTAAGGTATCGTTCCAGAGGATCTGTTTTTGTGAGACAGATTCTCTCCTGACTTAGATCTCTCCCCAATAGACTAGGCTGGCCAGTCAACAGTCACTGAGGCTCCAAACCCCAGTTCTGAGAATATGAGCATGTGCTATGACCTGTCATTTTCCTTTTTTTTTTTTTTTTTTTTTTTTTT